GTGAATTTCTAGAAAGATGTTTTTGTCTAACCTTCTACGTAAGGAAGTTAAGTCAATCTAGTGTCAGTGAGTCTCTACTTCTTCAGTAGAACAAGAAGTTATTTCAAAAGACTGTACACGCACACATCGGAGTATAAAAAGTCCACGATACCATATTTGCCACGTATTTTATGCGATAAAAATAGTGTAAGGCACGAACTAACAAACTTTCTTTCCACTAGTAAATAAATAAACCGTTTACTCCATTCTTGTACCACCAAGTTCTGCTGTTATTACTCCTATTATAACTATAATCCCCTTGATTTTTGTTTGTTTCTTCAGAATTGTAAACACCATTTAGGCTGTGTGATAATTGTTATTTTTTTGGGTTTTTTCCCTCACCATGCTATGTCAAGAGACATCTGAGACCCTACGTAGGATTCTTAATAAAGTAGGAATTAGGGTGGCATTCAAACCTACAAACTCACTCTAAGGCAAGCTCTGTAGGCTAAAGGACCCGGTGGATCCGATTAAACAAAATAATATAATTTACAAAATACCTTGCAATGACTGTGAGTTAAGTATACTATATAGGTCAAACTAGTAGATTGGGGATAATCAGATTGTCGGAACATAAGAATTTAGCTAAGGTAAGAATATTTGACCCCGAGAAGATGAGTAATTTAGAAAAAAGCTCCGCAAATGCACTGCATGCATTAACACACAACCACACAATAGGGTGGGAGAGGGTTAAGATTCTAAGAAGTAATCTATGTAGGTGGAGAGAGAGATTGATTACTGAATCCTGGTTCATTGAGTCTACACCCAACACATGCAACAGAAATGACTCAATGCAAATACCAGAGATATGTATGGAAGATGTTATTACCGTCAGTCAAATCAGAAGAGGATAATAAATAATCTCAACATTCTATTTCAATTCATGTACATCATAACATTCTAACAAGTTACTTATTTTGACTATAAAAACACTCGTCTTATTTCCCATCTGATTGTATTTGATCAATAACACTCATATTATTATTTCTGAATGTACATTATCTCATATTGATTTTTATTCAAATGTCTAATCATCAATTCTTACTCATGTATATAAATGAAGGAAAAAAGTTGTGTGAGTAACTTGATATGATTATGAGCAGTAATAATTTGTGCTCGAAACGTCATCAGTTAATATTACTGTATAACATTGTGTGATTTATCAAAATAAAATCTTATCCATAATGGAGTTATGCTCTACCACAGTGCCCAACTTTTATACTTATATATACCAAGAGAACATTAAATTCAGCATTCTATGAAATGCTAAGATTTCCATACTGTATTGACAACACTGTTTGAAACAAACTTACTGTTATTATTCTAATTTTATACCTGGCACATTTTTGACTTTATTCCTACTGTAAATATGGAAAAGTTCCTGTGGTTCATTTCATTTATATTTTGAGTAAATTAGATGCAATATTGTGACAAATGCTGAAAATTCCATGCTGTATTATAAGTACTGTTTTTGGAATAAAGCAGACCATTATTATTATTAGTGTTTGTTAACTCGTGTATTCGACCTGTTCTCCTCTAATACTCCCGCTGAATCTTTCTTGGCCTACTTCAGAAAAACTCTGTTACACTAGGAGGGGCACTAGAAGCTGTCACTAGGGCGAGTGTAGTACCTCTAAACCAACTTGTTAATACTGTTGTAGCAATTAATGAATATTATCTTGTCGGACTCTATGTATCCTCTTTATACACACATCTCTCTCCTTGCATTTCATCACATAGGACTAGAAGTAACTATAGAAATAATGAAGATTGAATTGATTGTGTTCTCTGAGCTGGTTGATTTAATTGCTAAGCTTTCGTCGTCCTTCTAGACAACATCTTCAGAGCAGGTTTTAGTATAGAATGAATGATGTGATTGTATCTCCTGGCAACCACTGTCGTGACTGGATGTTAACTTACGTCTCTATTGATCATATTATTTATTGACTTAGAATTCAAACTTTCTTGTCATATGGTTTACTTTTTATTAGCTGGCAAATTTGGTCTATAATAATATGTTTGTTAATTGTTAGTTCATTTGAGTACCAGTCTTCTAGGAGTTCCTTGACTCCATTTTCTGGGTTTTTCCTCTATTTAAAATTTCTACATTATCCCAAGAAAATTGATGTCTATAATTATCCACATGCATTGATATGAAAGAATATATATCGTGTCCTTTTATAGCCAATTTGTGTTCTCGGATTCGGATTCGAAGGGGACGCCCACTTCCACTGATGTAATGTTTATTGCAGTTCATGCAATTTACTTTGCAAATGATGTTAATCCTATCTTCTTTTTCTGTTGATTTTTTTGGTTTCCATAATATCGAATGAAGTGATTGCGCTCGGAATTACTAAAAAAAACTCTACAATACCTTATTTGGCACACACACTCATTTTATGCAATAAGAAAAGTTTTAGACATGAAAAATAACAACTTACTGTGAGATATTAGATGTTTGGAGACAATCGGCTACAGGAAACCTTCAACCTAGGTTTCGTGCTACTTGGCACTCACCAGTCAGCAAGGCAGGTGTATCCGCAACCTTGAAGGAACTCAAGTTCCATCTGAGATTCGAATCTGCGTCACCCAGTGCTGCAGTCAGTTAGCAATGTTACCACTGACCTGTTTGGGCTCACAATTGACCTCCTTCATGTAGGACTGTATTGGATACTTTTATTGGACACTAGTCAGTAACTAGTGTGATATATCTAGTCCTTTCTTTGGTGCAGACTGAATTCTATCAGTCAGGTTTGCAGTGTGGCCACCCTTGTAGGTAGCTCACCATCATGGTGCACATTGATTCGATGATATATTCGATGGTTGAAAGCAATCGGCTACAGGAAGCCTTGCCGGGACATAAGCTTCGTGCTGGTTGGCACTCGTCAACTCACTGTCAGACAGCAGATAAATGGCCTGTTTGTTTTTTATTCTTTCAATCATTCATATTATATTATTGTCACTATTTCTACTGACATTATTATCAATGTAAATGTCCTGATAACTGTTTCTACCCTATTAGTATGTAATGTTAAGAGAAAATTTGATGCATTATTGCACTGCATGCTGAGAATTACATTATTGTATCAAAAGTACTGTTTGGAATAAAGCCACGATTATTATTATTATTATTGTTAATGCAGCATCGCTACATTCATGTTCTCTTATCTTATGCGTGACGTTTTAGTAGTGTGAAGATTTGAACTAATGCATTTCTGTGTAAAATTCCGCTTTAATTCACTAGTCAGTTTCACGTGAAACTCCATTATTCATCCGTTGCATAGTTTAATTGTATTTTATATTATTTATCATTGTATACAAGTCATTAGGATGAATGCTGAGTGATGAATGCCTACTAGGCAGTTTTTGATAATGCTACGAAGTATTCACATATAGGCATACAACTCATGAATGTGTGATTTGTTTGAGTATATATCATCATTATTGTTCAATGAATCATTATGCTATTGAGTTACGATTGTATGATATTAAAATTATTCGAATATCAGACACTTTTTACACGTGTTAGACTAGTAGAAAGAGTTGTCTTCATATGCAGTAGATCACATGGTTTATTTGATACCAGTTTTGTCTTCCGTTTCATTATCACTTATACTGCAGGAAGGGAAGTGATGTCGATATTTTCAAATAAATAAAGCCTGTCAGCTTAGTTCCATTATGGGTAAATTTTGTTTTGATAAAGTCTCACAGTGTTATACAGTAATGTTTACTGATGACCACGCTTCGAGCACAATTTATTCTTGCTCATAATCATATCAAGGTAATCACACGACTTCCTAAATTCATTTATATAGTTCCATTGTTTTTCACTTGATTTGATTGGTAGTAATATTTTCCATATTTCGGGTATAAGTGATGAATCATTCCTATTGCATGTGTTGGGTGTAGACTGGATGAACCAGGCAGGATTCAGTAATCAACCTCTCTCTCCACCATGCATTACCACACAACCACACAATAGGGTGGGAGAGGATTAAAATTCTAAAAAGTAATCTAGGTAGGTGGGGAGAGAGAGGTTGATTACTGAATCCTGCCTGGTTCATCCAGTCTACACCCAACACATGCAATAGGAATGATTCATCACTCATACCCGAAATATGGTAAATATTACTACCAATCAAATCAAGTGAAAAACAATGGAACAATATAAATGAATTTAGGAAGTCGTGTGATTACCTCGATATGATTATGAGCAATAAATTGTGCTCGAAGCATGGTCATCAGTAAACATTACTGTATAACACTGTGAGACTTTATCAAAACAAAATTTACCCATAATGGAATTACACTCTACCACAGTGCACAAGTTTTGTACTTATATATGTCAGCTTAGCTTCATCGACACTCCGCTTTTGATTTAATTCAATTTGGACTTCTCTGTTGATTGAGTGGACCAAAGTGCCCGGCTTCTATGTTGACATGTTGGCTACTTATGCGGATGTTCTGACGATATCTGAGAATACAACTTGGAGTGATTCGGTAGACACTAACTAGCAGAGGCCAAGCACTTCGATCCAATCGATCGACAAAGAAGTCCAAATTGAATTAAATAATAACCGATACCTGTTGCACGAGAGGTGGGTGGCTCTCGTGGCCCAAGTGGTCTAGTGGATAACGCTTTGGCGTTTGAGACTGTGGGTACTGGGTTTGAGCCTCAGTGGGAAGTGCAGGTACATCCATTAGCTGAGGAATCCCAAGTAGGATAGTGGAAATGCGCATCCTGGATTCCACTGCTAGTCACCATCCACCAGTTTATTCTACTTCTTAATTAGAGGTAATTTGGGGTAATGTATTATGCTTTTATTAATAGTATATTGACACAAGGATTTTGTTTCGTTAAGTCACATTCATCATCATTCTGTTTTTTTAATGTTAAGTTAACAAACTTCAAACTGATCACCTCATTTCTATTTGTTTTAAAATCTTTCATTTATTTTTAGCGTGTTGCACGAATATTCTTTGACTGTCCAACTCTTGATGGTGTTGAGCTGGAAGATGAAGATGAAGCTGGTGTATATTTAACTCATTGGGAGAAACGTCTTCTAGAGGTAAAACTTTTTCTTAAGATAATCTAATTAAAACTGGTCATGAAAAATTTCCACATCCCCATGCTTATTTTTGCTTCCACGGGTAGAAGTCACATCACAGCTAGCTTCCCAAAGGCTTTCAAGAGCCTGTATCGTTGCATCTCTTCATATAGTTTTTTTTGTGCTTTCAAGTTCCTGTAGCGACTTGAGTGGTTTTTCAGAATAGGATCGCTAGCCACATGCACATGGGTCAGAAACTTGATGCGTCACGAAAAGCATTTCTAAAAGGCCAATACTTCGCTTGCTCTATACTGAAGATTAGGTGCACAGAAAGAATTAGAAGGAAGAGACTATGAGAATAAACCGATCAGGAACCTGTTACCCAAAAAACAGTGAGAAGAAAGTGGAAATGGATCGGACACACACACTGAAGAGATCGCCGAGTTACGTGAGGCACAATGCGCTCCATCGGTCGAGCGGAAGATGAATGGTGAACGACGAGTTGGGCATGTGTCTGAAGGTGACATGGAGAAGGTCGTGTGGGAAGGAGAAGATGAAAGCCTCTGGGCAACCATGCGGCCAGCTGACGAGAACTGCAGAGAACGGGATGAATTGCAGATTCTTCTTTTAAAGCAGTGTAGAGCAATGTAGGCCTATTACTCTCTAGCGATTGTTTGGAACATCCAGTAATATGGATCTTTAAAATAAAACGCTAGTATTTCTGCAACATGATCTATCTGTTTAAAATATTGTTTTGGAATTTTAGAATTCACCGATGCATTCCAACTTTATTTTGGTATTTGTATGTAAGTAGGTATGCACTGTCTCATAGTTAGGTATTCCAACATAGACAAGTATCAACATGTTTAGAACACTAATTTTCAAATGAGCTTACTTCTCTAAACTCTTGCTAACAAGGTATATTTAACCATTTTATGTATAAACAATGACCTATTTCTGATGGTAAGGTTTTCAGTTATCTGTTTTAATATTCATTTATACAAGAATTTGAGGCTCTACATTAAAAAGTCTGAATCTTAGTCTTGGGGATCTTTTTTTCTCCCTCCGGTAAATAACACTTGGTGCTTTGAAAAGCTCTGCTGATGGTAAAAGCGTGACATATTTGCTACAGCCACCATAGTTAATTAATTAATAATTTGCTTTATTCCCAAACAGTAGTACTTATGATACAGCATGAAATTCTCAGTATTCGGTACAATATTGCATCTAATTTACTCAGCAACAGAAAGGAACATTACATGATATAGGTAAACGAAATTGATAATGGCGGCTTTTTGGTATTTGTAGTAACAACAAAGCTAAAAGTGTACAAAAGTATAAAATAATATCAATAATTAAAGTTATAAGACAACTAAAATAGTATCACCATAAATTACAAATAGAAGAAGGCGAAAGAGCCATTTATTTCGCTAATTATATAGTAAGTTATACGTTTCTCGCCTAACAATTTCTCCATCACGTAGAACGCTGGACAAATAGGATATCGTTGAGTTTTAGTACGTGGTTGTACGAGCATATAGTGTTTTATACTGACTTCTAGTCCTACCTGATGAGATTCCAGAGGAATGTTGTGAGTAAAAATAGTGTTGCGAGTCAGACAATGTGGATTTAGACTATTTCTCACATGATTTCAGGTGTCTGTCGACCACAGTAGTAACCAGCTGACTTAGTGGTGCACCAATTGTCTTAAAACCCTTCACAATATGATATAGTCCTTTTTGAGTAGTCCAGAAAAGACTAAGGGGGGAGCAATAAGGGATGAACGATAAGTGGGATGAAAGAGTTAACAAACTATAAAAGTAGGAATGAGTGATTCCAGATTGTCTTCACTTCGCAATGTAGGAGGTTAGGCGGAGCATTTTCTTAGAAATCAACAAGAAATGAGATGACCAAGAAAGGTCGGAGGAAAGAACTTTTCCAAGATATTTAATGCTTGGCTTAATTTCTATATCATCATTGCCATGTATGCTACAGGCATGGTGTGAACAAACCAGTTCCTGAAGATCAGGTTTATGCTTGAAGGTGAAGTTAACTCTCTGACATTTGGAGGTATTTAACATAAGACCATTTAGTTTAGACTACTGGCTAATGTCCGACAAAAATCTATTCAGTTTGAAATGGCCAGATCAGAACGTGGCTGGTAGAGAGACAGTGAGATCATCAGCGTATTTAACGAAGTTGATCTCATTCGTCAGAGACAAATCATTTAAGAAGGAAGAAAGAAGAAAAGGTGAGCGGACAGAACCTTGAGGGACTCCAGCTTCAGTAAGCAAGGTAGAAGAAGATTCACCTTAATATACAGTAAAAAAACTGTGAATTCACCTGCAAAATTAGACAGATCCGAATGGGAACAGCTATGGATAACGTAAATGTTTTAGGCAAGAAAGTGTTGTGCTTTGGTGAGTGTTTGGGACGGCATTTCATTGCAATACAATCAATAAAGTCACTCCAGAATGTGAAACATACATTGTCTGAAGTTGACCACCGGGAATGAATCAAATTTGTGACCCCACCGCCCCATTTCTTCTTGGAAAGAAGCCGATCTTAATGGTGTGAAACGATTTACAGACAAGACTGTCATCCTAAAGCTCTTGAAGCCAAGTTTCTTGTAGCGTGATTATATGCATATTGTGATAAGTATCAGAGGATACGAGGGACTGCAGACACACAATCTCGTTAGGAAAAGAACGGGATTTGGTACCGCTGATTACAGGAACCAGTAGTACAATGTATAGATGTGTATTTAGTGCTCGTTACCAACACCATCGTGATGCTTTTTCTTAGCTTCGTAGGGAAGTTGGAAGTCATTTGCCTTTAAACCTTTTAAAAATTCGTGATAGTTAATAGTACGATTTGACGTCAGACTTTGACGGATAAATACAAATAAAACACGACAAACTAGATGCAATATGTAGACGGAAGTTGGGATAGCCCAACGTTCAAACAGGCCATTGAATATTAATTCTTGTACTAATTTTTCATTTTTCCTTATTGTGCTGGTTTTACGATATTCAAAAGTATTACTTGATTTCTACTGAATGCCTAGTAAACAGGATACTTAATTTCATGTAATTAATGGATGAGGTTTGATTGAACTACAGTGACTATACTACAACCCTTATTCACCTTTTTAATTGTGTTGTTCCTCCGGAAAATTTTGTTCAATTTTGTCAGGCTACTTACAAGTAGTGTCAGCATATTGATATATTTTTTGAAATTTTTTCACAGAACGATCTGATGACAGCTACATTTACAAATTCATATCGTATTTCACCGATTACACTGGCAATGATGGAAGACACTGGGTAAGTTCTACAGATTATCTTTGTATATTATTCAGAGTCATATATACTAAAACGGAGAAGTGATTTGACTCTTTAGATTTATGCTGAAACTTAACCATCAGAGTTCTTACCAAAATCTAAATAGTAAGTATTATTTTGGTGGATGTTGCCTAACAATGGAATCCAGGATGCGCATTTCCACTGTCCTATTCGGGATTCATCAGCTATTGGATGTAACTGCATTCCCTAGTCAATCGTAGTGTTCACGCTGGGGCCCAAACCCTCTACCCATAGTCTCAAACATCAAAGCGTTATCCACTAGACCACTTAGGCCACGAGAGCCACCCACCTCTTGTGCAACGGGTAGCAGTTATTATTAAATCCAATTTAGACTTCTTCGTTGATTGATGGAACCGACGTGCTTGGCCTCTGCTAGTTATCATCCACCAGAATACTTCAGGTTAAATCCTCAGATATCTTCGGAGCATCCGCCTAAGGAGCCAACATGTCAACATAGAGGCTGAGCAATTCGGTCCAATCAATCAACGAGGAAGTCCAAATTGACTTAAATAGTAAATATTGATGGTTAAAATTAAGCTCAAAAGACTACAAGGCCTACTCGTATTTTGCTGGTAAGATCGTTTTATACTATTAGCAGTTGAATCAGGGGAAAGGGAAGTACATATTTGCCAACTGAAATAAAGCTGAATAGAAGAACGATGCCATGGCGTATTTCTTCTAAAGTCGTATCTATGAACATGAAAACTGAATAACTCTTGGCAAAATAGCACCGTGAAGTTTTACGGAACTCCTTATTTCAAATACTAATTAACATGAAACATTAAGGGCATACAGTTGTTCAAACAATGTATTTCCTACACTTGACAACCGTTTCCCCGCTTGGTGCCAAGACCATCAGCAGTGTACCCGGTTTAACTCGGCTGAGACATCCGAATCAGTTAAAATCACCCTATTCCTGGCTAGCTACTTGGTCGAATTCGTCATGCCGTAAATAAAACTGACAACTTGTGCATTTTCAATTTATTTCCTACCGTTTCTAGGACTTTGATGCTAAACTATCCTTTTACAAATACAAAGACACCCTCGTAGATTTGGATGGATAAGTGAAGATTCTGGGTAAAATACTATTGATTTTACTGAAGTCCTATTCCTACAGATGAAGCGTAAAAGTAAAACGGTGGGTGAAGTGAATGCTCATCGTAGGCAGTGATGATGGCAGTGATATGTCACGAGTTGACAAAGTTGGAATTCAGCCCAAGTGATCAATGAATTTAGGTCTCGTGATCCTCAGGCCCCAGGTTCGATCCCTGACGGTGTTCGCACTGCCGAATAGTCCCAAAGTAAGATGAAACAGTCATCTAGTGTTCCTAGATTGTTTCAGATAGCCTCTCTAACAATTGTAATTAATCTGAAATCCCCAAGAAACCTGTGATCTCAGTTAATGAATGATTGTGTTCCCTGTGACCGACTTTATACCTAGAAAGCTTAAATCTTTCATCATCACTTGGGTTTGTTCTACTATTCCCACCAGAGAAAAACTTCTTTTTGTTACAGCGTAAACCATAATCAAGTGAGTTCGTGAGTTGATTTCACATGTTTGACTACTATCAACAATCTTTTACACTGGTTCTACTCTGGCTAGTATTCCATTTTAATGTAAACAGAGGTTTATTTTGTGTAGAAGATGAGCAATACGCGATGTCATGGACTGCCTTGACTTAAGCGTTTCTTCAGCTTGCATGATAACATTTTCCACTATAGTTATCACTGGCTTAGAAAGATTTATGGGGGAATGTCACAGAGAAATGTCACGGTATCCCGATTCTTCCATTTCCTCCCAAGTATCTGGTTGCAGCGGTAAGTAGAGGATATTAAATATGTCTTCTACAGGTATTATTACACTAGCCATCAGCACAAGACAGACGTGGAGTCTAGCTTTACTACATTTATCAGGTAAACACAAATATTCCTTAAATATGTCTGCAATTAGTTTTGATAAAAGTAGTAGTAGCAGCAACTGAACTTGATAAATGTCACTTCTCATGGCTGTTTTACATAGAATATCTATCTTCAAGAGGTAATTTGTAGAGATTTCATTCGCCTCAAGTTTCACCATGGATTGATATCACACTTAGAGAACCAATAGGAGACCAGGGAGTACTCAACAGCCATTTCATTCTAGTTTGAGACTACAGCAATACGCATGTACCCCCTAGGACTCGAACCCAAGGAAAGCTTGTAGACCATTCAGGCACTGGGACTCAACCCAACAGCCCATGGATTCCAACTTCTACCAATTCGATGGCAGTGTCATCAGCGAATATTTGTCCTCACTCCTGACCTGGTGGACGCCACTGGCTACGACTTCTCATCAGAAATCCAGTCAATCTCTTCCGGTAGCCAGCCACTAGTGAGTATCAGGTTAGTTTTCATTAGTCACTTGATAAGGATGTGATATGTTTCAACTTTGTTCCAAGTACCTACAAACTAACTCTTGAAAATTACTCTGATGCTCGCTAGGGACTGGTACAGGACGAAGTTGACTAGAGTTCTAGACAGAAGTCATGATCAATCGTGTCTACCCGGTCGGGAGAGAGAAAAAACACTCACCGATGATACTATTTAGTGGTCGCGCTAATATCATGAATTGGTCGAAGTTAGAATTCATGAACTGGCCATTGGATCAGGTCCCAGGGACTGAATGATCTTAGAGCTTTCCTGGTAACTGTAAGGTCGTAGGTTGAAAGTCTGGTGGTGGGTGTGTTCTTATGAAGGTTCCCTAACTAGAACGAAACAGTTGTCCAGTACTCCCTGATTTCCAGTGGTCCTTTCTAACTGACACCATTCCGTAATCAAATATGAAACGGCTTTATTATTGGACTTTTCCTAGTATAGTAAGGTAACTATTCGGAAAAATTGCACGTAAAAATTCCCTGTTTGATGAGACAAAATAAAAGAATTTGAAATTTTATGGCAAACAGATTTTATTTCATTTTTAGTTTTGTAAAGAGGGGTGTGATTTTTCGCAAGCAAAACTGTTTGTTTTTTTCCTTTCAGCTGGTATGTAGCAAACTATGCATTATCACAGTCTTTCAGTTGGGGAAAGGGGAAAGGTTGCGTTTTCGCCACTGGTAGTTGTTTGGAGTATATGCTAGAACAAAAGCTTCGGTAGGTCGATAACTGATATGGTACATTAAAATAATTAACTAAATATTTATCACTTAGCTGAACAATTCTTAAGAAAACTAAGTGTAGTAGAGCAGCTTACTACTTATAATTGATTCTTTTTGAATGTGATATTTTTACTGACAGTTTAATGAATTTGAGTCCACTGAAGTGCATCATCCAACGACAGTATGTTGTGTGTAAGCTCTCATCCCATCCAACTCACATGATCTCCTCCATATCACTCTCGGACACACGCCCAACTGATCATTTCCCATTCAGATTCCACTTGAGGGCCTGCACTGCGCGCCTTGTTACTCGATGGTCTCCTCAGCGTGTATCCGATCCATCTATATTATCTCCGGAATATTTGTTCAGTTGTAGGTTCCTCATTGGTTCATCTTCAGAGTTCATTGTTGCTTATCCTTTCTGGCTATCCGGCCATCTGATCTTGAGTATGGAGCCAGATGAGTGGGCAGCTGCTGATGAAATTCTGAAGCAGGCTTTTGGAAACACTTTTCGTGATACGCGTGTCAGGTGTTTCACCCAAATGGAAGAACTGACTGATTTAACACTGGTGTTGAAAACCCGAATCTTTTTTTATACTGAGCGGAGCCGATTTGTAAGCTGATTCCAGAGTGTTGAAGGTCTGTCTCGCTTATTCAGTTCTGGTTTTGACATTCTCATCTGTGCAGATTGCCTCTCGTCGAAAGGATTCTGTCTTGATATGTGAAGGAAGCGACCTCTTTCATATTTCTGCCATTGATAGTGTCTGACGCTTCTTGTTGCTGTTGGTTGGTTATCTTCTTCACCTCCGTCTTCTCTATGTTCACTTGAAGCCCTGTCTTTGCTGCTGCTCTTCTCCTTCCAACTCGTTGATTTTTGTCTATGGGTCTTCGAATTTATTTGACATTAGACATAAACCGTCCTCGAAGTCCAGGTCTCCTAGAGTCTTCTTGTCGATTCAATGTACTCCTGGCTTCCCGCTCCCTATGTTCTACCACAATCAAGAATATCACCAGTGATAGTCAGTAGCCTTCATCGCCTTACTCCTGTCTTCAGTTCAGAGGCGTCACTGAGTTTTCCATTGTGGATCAACTGACATGTGCCACTGTCATATATCTGTTGACTGAGGTTGATATAGATTTGGAGCACTGTACGCCGAGGTCATTCAAGCTGTCGTCGACAGTTTCTTTACATACGACACATATATATTCATTTTGATAATAATAATAGCTTCATTCTGAACAGTATTTATATAATGTACAGAATTTTCAGCAGAAATCATTGCGTTATAGTTTATATTCGTCTAGGTTCTGGAAGTAAAATAGTAACTGACAGTAAACTGTGTGGCACACCGCTCTCTGATTTGAAGCGAAAATCAATCCACGATGATATTTCTTCTTCGCCTTCTTCAAGAAATGCACAACATTTGGTTGAAAGCCAATTAAAAAGCTGCAGAAGTACATCTTTTGACCCAAGGATATAATAATAATAGCTGATTAACCGAAGACTGTAGGTAATTAGTTTTAGTTCTCAGGAGATGGCAGATTATACTGAAAATCTCATGGACAGTTATATAATGTATTGGGATACGTTGCCACTTAATGTTTTGATTTATCTCAAGATTAGTAGAAACTTGCAAATCAGCAGGTTGTAGACATTTTAAACACTCAAGAGAGTAGAAAATACCATTAGATGTCGGCCATATTTTAATAGATTAAAACAAAGTGAACAAGAGAAGTTATACGCGATATGTAATGATGGAGTAATTTTGTAGTCCAGATTTCAAATAGGCTCTTTGATAAATGTGTCTGTGGTAGGTGAAAAGTAAATATGAAAACGAAGATCACATGACATGAATTCAATAATAATAATAACAGTATGTACATATATTCACAGTCAGCATCATAGTAACCACATACCATGGTCACAACAATGTTGACTGCTTTACAGCTCCTTAGACCTCATGCAATCTATATTCCCTTTGCGCTCCGAGTGGAACATAGGGCTTCAACAACATATCTCCACTTTATTCTGTTTTCTGCCATCCTCTTCTGCTAGGTCCGCGATTGACCAAACTCTCTCATCTCTTCCTCACACGACGTCCTTCATGTCACCCCCGCACCGATGACCCACTCGTCGCTTCCCATTTTGATTCCACTCGAAGGCCTGGTGTGTGATGTCATTCGGCGGCCTACTCAATGTATGCCTGATCCACCTCCACTTTCTCCTACATATTTGTCTCGCGATCGGCTCTTGGTTGGCTTGTTCCCATAGTTTCTTGTTGCTTATTCTTTCCGGCCATTTGATCTTCAGTTTGGAGCCAGCTCAGCTGGCAGCTGTCGATGAAAGTCTGTAACCTGTTGGAAATCATTTTCGTGACACCCAGTGCAAGTTTCTGACCCGTATAGAAGAACCGACTTCACATTGGTGTTGAAAATCCGAATCTTGTTCCTTATGCTGAGTGAGTGCAGAAGATTTCCAAACTGGTTTCAGGTTGATGAAGGCGTATCTTGCCTTTCCGATTCTGACTGGCTTTGACATCTTCATCCGTTCCGGCGGTAGTTGAAACGATGCTTCTTATATAAGTGAAGGAAGTAACCTCTGTTAAATCTCTCCCGTTGATGGTGATTGGTACTGTTTTTTGTTGCGGTACGTTGGTTACCCTCATCACCTCCATCTTCTCTATGTTCACCTGCAGTCCTGTCTTCACTGACAGCCTCTTCAGACAGTTTGTTGATTTTCACCTGTAGGTCTTTGAGTTTGTGTGACATTAGACATATTTCATCCACACGCGAAATCCAGATCTTCTAGAGTCTTCTTCTACCGATCGTCCAGCGTCTTCCTGACTCCTCACCCCCAACAGTCTGACACATAATCCAGTCCACGACAATTAGGAGTATTATCGGTGATAATATGCAGCGCTGTCTTACTCCTGTGTGTACTTCGAACGTCTTGTTGAGTTTTCTTTTGTTGATCACTTGACACGCGGCATTGTTGTTAGATTATTTCATGTTGGACAAATTTCTCGAACAATCAGTTAAATCTATTCTGGACACCAGTGTGGTCCTGAAAGCAATGCATTTGGCCAGACCTCTCGAAACCTCTACATCAGCCTCTGGCCAAACAACCCCTGGTCCTACCTCAAAGACCCATCGTCCCACTTACTCACGCAACACCAACTAATGCCCAAAGTTAACACCTCCACCATCTTGCTGGCATTGTGGTGCTTGGCATTTCGTCAAATCTTATCCAAATATGCAACACTAGTGTCAAGACTTCAAAGATGGTTTTAGCCAGCAACCACAGCAGCCACCCTCGATAAGTCACCGCAGACGCCGTCCTCAGTCAGCACCTGTTCACCAAAAGTTCATCAGTATTCGGCCTCTACGTCCACCCCTCGCCCCTCAGATGGTGCTACGACCGGTTTCCTGACCAAATGAGACCTGTGCCATGTGCTTCATTACTATAATGGGAGACAGAGGTCACGAATGCTCCAGAACCTCAAGTAAACAACTGATCACTCCCTTAACGTCGGCCAACCAAGTGCAGAAAATAAACAGTACAGTTCTAGGTTGACCCTAAGTAGTTTGTCTTTTCTGAATTGGGGGGGAGGGGTGACACATTATCTTCTCTCACTCCATATATATATGTCGTTTCATTTTGTAAATATACGGATACTGACATTGATAAATATACTTTCCATCTGACGTCGTTATGTGTTCTCGCTCAGGTAGAGCGGGCTGAAGGAAACAGGTAGTTGACGTAGCCCAGCGGTATTCGAGACCAGAGAGTCTGTGCCCAGCTCGATATCCTTATTTCAGTCCCAACATATGGCAAAACGTAACAGTGGCGACACCATAACATATATATATATATATATTACATCGTTACTATTGAGTTCACTTTATTATTATTGTTTATTTATAGGGGTCAACCAATTACACCGTTCTGTCAACATTTACAACTTTCATCCAGCTTGAAGAATAAGAATGGTGGATTACAAGTTAGCTGTACACCTGATGGAGAAAGTTATGGATTTTGCAATCTTATTGATTATCCTGAACCATTGCCTTCTGAATATGTTTATTTTGTTCGTGGGAATATGTCAACAGGTCAAACAAATGAGGAGATCAGTTTACCCACCACTGGTGCATCAGATAATCAATATCCTCTTGTTAAAATAGGCGGTAAAATAGCCTTGGCTAATTACTGTCCATATCATCAGGTTTGTTAATATGCGTTGTCTTGTTTAACTTCAGTTTTTGTATCATTTAGACGGTTTAAGAACATTATACAGAATAAGTAACATTGATTTGATGATATATCAGATGGTTGGAGGCAATCGGCTTCAGGTTTCGTGCTAGTTGGCACTCACCAGTCAGTAAGGCGTATCTGCAAAATCATATCACACTGGATAGGTTCTTCATGCCTCTATAACACTGGGAAGGTGGTAATGGTTTTATGATAAAGGTCACTTGGTCCTACCGGCTTTTGTTATATTATTATGTTCCACTTGCTTTCCCACTGAAACATAACAGGGTTTTAAGATTGAGCTTTGAAGTTTCTATAACATTTCTGTGTTATTTTTACGGGGTGGGGTTGCTAGTCTCACGCCCAACCTTCCCTCTTTACCGGGCTTACTTCTAGTTAATAGAGGCTTAGGAGTACTTCGTCTGGGGGATCAAACTCCGAATCACATGTGTAGTTGGCGAGTGTTCTGCCTCTGCACCACTGACGCGAAAGCCATCGAGTGTACTGGACAGCTGTCTAGTACTGGTTTGGGACTTTTAAGCAGTGCACATCCACTGGGATTTGAACCCAGGACCTTTTGGTCACAAGTCAAGCTCGTAGACCATTCAGTCGCTGGGATCCATGGTTCTACCTTACTGACAGCTTAATAATATTCTCACCTCAAGATCTAAGGTTCCTACATTCAGAACTGTATAAAGTTCTTGGCATACACTGTTGAAAGGTAGTTAACCAGCACAACACCTTAGTCTTATTATAAATTACTCTAACCGAGCATTTTTTATGCATGTCTTCTTGACGTTCATACATACAGTCTGTTTTACATCAGTTTTCTAACTTTTTGTCTAGGAAATAGAATGGGAAGACAATGGAGGGAAGGCTGTGGCTAATACTCACTGTCATACACCTACTAATCTTCAAGGTAATTTCAGCTTTCATTTTCTGATTCACATTAATTTACACTTTATATTTAAACTCCCAGTCTTTCCCTTGCTGTTGATCTACAAGAAAGTTAAATAACGTCAAGTAAAATACTAAGCCGCATCATTCTGGAGAGAACAAAGGGTGCACTGGATACAGAACTCCGCCAGCACGCAGCAAGCTGGATTCAAGAAAGGTAAATCGTGTGCTGATCAAATTGCAACTGTACGTATCGTCATTGAACAAAGCATAAAATGGCAGTCAAACCTCTACCTCAACTTCGTCAACTTAGAAAAGGCCGTCGACAGGCAGTGTTGACCGATACGTGATTTGGAAACTACTTCCACACTACCGCCTGCAGTGCCCAAGTCTTTATCAACCTTATTCTACAGCTATATGAAAATGCCACTCGTCAAGTGATCCACAACGGGAAACTAATCAAGGCGTTCAAAGTGAATACAGGAATAAGACAGGGATGCCTATTATCTCCGATGATACTTCTTATTGTGGTGGACTGGATTATGCGTCAGACTGTTGGGGACGAGGAGTCAGGAATACGCTGGACGACTGATAAGAAGACTCTAGAAGATCTGGATTTCGCGTATGGATGATATATGTCTAATGTCACACAAACTCGAAGACTTACAGGCGAAAACCAACAAGGTAGTGGAAGAGGCTGTCAGTGAAGACAGGACTCCAGGTGGACATAGAGGAGACGGAGGTGATGAAGATAACCAACGAACAGCAACAACACCTAGCACCAGTCACCATCAGTAGGAGAGATTTGACAGAGGTTACTTCCTGCCTTCACTTATCTAGGCAGTAAGCATTGTTCCAACCACAGACCATCGGAACGGATGAAGATTTCAAAGCCGGGAAGAATCGGAAAGGCAATATACGCCTTCATCAACCTGAAATCAGGAGATGAGGAATTATGAGCAATCGTGGACCCAGCTGAAGAGGATGGCAGAAAATAGAAAAAAGTGGAGACGTGCTGTCGAAGTCCTATGCTCCACTCGGAACCCAAGCGAATAATAATATTAATAATAATTAGGTTCAGAGTGTTAAGTAAGGCGAGTAAGTCGACTGACAAAATTGTGAAACTGACTTAACCAGAAATGTGTTAGCTGAAGTAGTTAAGTCTCTAGCCACGGATCGATCTATACAGATACATTCAGTGAAAGATAGTGAAGTGAACCCAGTTGCCAAGGTGGTAGAAAAGATAAAAAGTTGAGCTGATCAGTTCAAATGGTCCTTGAATCAATCACCACCTGCAACTGACTCAGAAGTACCACCAACAGACATACAACTGTCAATGAACACCAGCCCTCCCACAAAAACAGAAGATTTCAAGGCAGTAAGGTTGGAATACATTGTGAAGAGTAGATTTACGCATTATGTTCTGTATGTCGTAAGTAGTATGTGTGTATGCGTATATTGTGTGAGCCATCACTGTTTGTTTTGTTGTCGTTTTTTTCGTTTTTTATTTTAAATTTCACAGACCCTCACAATAACTTTAAGCTTGAACGATTCGGTATGGAATCAATATGTGTGCAACACAGTTCCAAATGGCATTTAACAAATGAAAATTCATTATTTCTTCCACCTGTAGAAGGAGCTGGTTGTTATACTGTATGTCAGTCTGTTAGATTTTTCGATCATGTTTACAATCATAGGATGTTTCAAAACCCTTTTTGATATTCTAATTTTCTTTCTTGAACAGTACTATTTGCTGTTCATAATTACATGATTGTGCGTCGGTGGCACAGCGGTAGAATGCTCGCTAACCACGCAGGTGGTCTGGGGTTCTATCCCTTGCCGACAAACTCCTTCACCTCGCTAACGTAGTAATAAAACCGGTAAAGGGGGAAGGATGGGCATGAAGCTAGCGACCTCATCCCGTAAAATTAAATACCACTACTACCGAAACTTCAAAGCTTTAGCTTGAAGCCCTATGTTCCACTGGGAAAATAAAGAAAAATAATTACATGATGTTTGATGTGAACTAACACGAAGTTTAACCCCTACTTTGTACATACTAATAAGTTTTTACTTGCAAGTAGGATGAATTTGTCTTTATTATTGTGTTTCGAATCACTGAATACTATCTACGTGGTTGGCAATATCTGTAACTCAGTTTTGATCTATTCTAGTATAAGTGTTCTCCTCTTGAATGAAAAGCCTTTCAATTAAATTTTAGTGATCACCTTGAATAATATCGATTTCTTCACAACTCATATATTGCTTTGTTTATTTTCATTTAAACAATGTCATTCTTCAGTTTGTTTTAATTCCAAATGACTGAAATCGCATAGATTTTAGTTTGAATTGTCAATAAAAGATTACCAAGACTTGATTTGAAGGATTAGACTTGTTTTTTCAGTTTGACCACGGACTGATATCAGCTAGAGAAGTATTGAACACCAGCACTAGAGTACTGGACAGCTGTTTTATCCTAGTTTGGGAATCATCGGTAGTACTCAACCACTGCCAGGGTCCATACCCAGGACCTTCCAGTTACAACGCAAGCTCGTATACCATTCAGCCAGTAGGACCCGATTCAGTGGCCAGCCTATGAATTCTAACTTCTACACCGATTTGTGATGCCTTTAGTGTGACCACCAATCAATGTCAATGGGGGGGAAATTTATCCTCACTCCCTACTGGATGGATCTCACTGGTCTAGAAAAGCGGTTCTAGCTACAAATACATCGAAAAAGTTACACTGTATTAGCTAGTGTTTTAATGATTGGCAAATATCTTATGGTTCAAAGACTCGGTGTTTGCATCACGGAAAGCATTTCAAGCAAGCCACTACATACTTTCATTAACATCTGCCTTCGCTGTGTCCTTACTGAAGTTCGGATGGCCGACCGGAGAGGATAATCAACTATAAAGTCCTGCAACGGACTAATCAAGAACCTGTTGCCCAACAAATATGCAGAAAAAAATGGAGATAGATTGGACATACTTTAAGGACACCACTGAGTGACAACATTCATCAGGCCATCGAGTGGAACCCGAATTGGAAATGAATAGTTGGGCATATGTCGTACGGTGACATGGAGGTGATTATGTGTAAAGTGTAAATTAAGACTTTTAGGCATTTATGGAGCCAGCTAAAAAAGCTGCAAGGAACAGTGTGAAACTGTGATGTGGCGCTCAAGCTATATGTTCCACTTGGAACCCAAGGGAATAATAGTGAATATCTGCACAAGGAGCCAACATGTCAACCTGGGATGGAGCACTTCGGTCCAATCAATCGACTGGAAAATCTAAAATTGGTTCTAAATTGGCTCTCGTGGCCCAAGTGGATAGCGCTTTGGCGCTTGAAACCATGGGCACTGGGTTGCAGCCTCACTGGGAAAATCATCGCTGACTGGGGAATGCAGGTACATCCAGCAAGCTGATGACTCCCAAATAGGACGGCCGAAATGGGCATCCTGAATTCCACTGTTAGTTACTATCCACCAACTGAAGTTAAACATACTTCTCATTGCCTTTCCAGTCTTCTGAGCCTAACTTGTTACAGTTTGTTATGACTCGCTAGTACTACTAGCCGTCATATATTAATCTTAAAATAGCCTGAATGATAACGTTAACTAGATCTGGTAGTCACTGATTCCGACTTCACCTCAGCTGATGTTTCTGCTTTCACATTCAATCATCATCTCCTCGAAGATGTATCCCACTCGGCTTACCATAGCTGTCTTAGTGTGAGGCACAGAAATATTATCAATATTTCAAACAGGCTCTCACTTTTCAACATCTCATTAGAGCCGCAATTTGTAAATTAATTACTTGACTAAGTAGATCACTTCTTGTCAATGTTACGATGAGTTACGCACACGTGTACTCCAAAGTTATTTCTTTACCAGTGCAATGTTTCTCATCGCATTCTTGATAAATGTTGTCAACGATAATTGTTCATAGTTTCAAAAGTAAGGTTATCCAAATGTGTCCCAAAATATGAAGGCTGTATGCAATTGGGTGCTCAAATGAATTCCTTAAGATAATACAAACCTCATGTTATTATTTAAAAATGCCCTATAAGTTGATAGATTCGTCTTATGACAAAATTACTGAGACAACCTCATAACCACTTATTCATCGTAAGTATTTCTATGCAATTCATTGAAGGAGAATCCTAATTAGTAGTGTACCGGTAGAATACAAGAGCATTTGACAACTCAATGTACAGACGTAGGCGAAATACGTCTAACATATATTAGAATTACAATTTGTACATATCTTCGGTATTGTGCTACTTTCATCTTCCATGTTGTGTTTCTTTTCTCTTCCTCCCGTGTTTTCCATGTCGTTTCATAAGCATAGTTCATCTCTTCTCTTCACCTTTAAATCCATCTATCCGTTATTCGATATTATTGCAGATGGCATACAAATTTTGTATATGTATGTATATACTACTTATAAATCTTATCAGTAGCACAGACACAACCGCTAAAAACTTAAAATTATGTGTAGGTGTTTGGAAATGAAGGCTTTTACGAGACAATGATGTGAAAACATGTATGTGGATGGTAAGAACTGATGGAAAGATTGGTACTCTTTTGCAGTTTTTACATTATATAAATGTCTATGAATATTTCGTGACCAGTTTTATCACTTTCTAAAATACCACTTACTACCTGAAGTATATTTTCTCTCGCTTGTTTCATTTTCATCCAACCATTTAGTTCCGATGTTCAGCTGATGAAGGTGGTCTAGTGCTGGAATTGGCTGGAAGTATTTCAATCCCATGTGAAGTTCCGGGAGGATTAAGTGAAGTTAACGCTTGTTTAACAAAACAAAGTCTCACTGTGAATGGAAAACTCATTTGTCCAGATTGTAGGAATCTTTGTCCTGTAAGCTGCAATTTCTTTTGCTTGTATCTAATATATGTGTATGTATATATAAGTAAGTCGTAAATAAGAGGGAGGAATAGAATTCAACTAAAATTGAACGAGAGTCAGGTTAACAACATTGATAGTAAGAAGTAATAATAATAATAATTTGCTTTATTCCAAAACAGTACTTGTGATACAGAATGGAATTCTCAGCATTTTTACTACAGTATTGCATCCAGTTAGTACATTATCAATAAATAGAATTCTACATAGATTAAGGAAATCTCAGTTCATTATGACAACAACATATTGGCATGTCGGTAGCAAAGCCAAAGTTGAACAGTGTTTGAAGGTGTTAGAAAAGTAGGTACTGTCATATTTACTGGCGTAAGCGGAAGAAAGAAACAAAGCAGCACATAACGGAAAAAAGAGAGAGAGAAAAGGAAAGGAAAGAAAGAAAATGTTGTACCTATAAATGAAATGAGTTGGAAAGACGAGATCCAGTTGTACTACTGACTATTTAATGAATTATAGGTGTCACGCCTAATGCTTTCTTTATCACACAGAACACGAGCCAAGTAGGGTATGGTTGAGTTTTTGTACTTGCTGGTGCGAGCATATAGTTTTCTATATAGGCTTCTGGTTTTACCTGATGAGATACAAGGGGAGAGTTGTGAGTGAAGAGGGTGTTGTGAGTTAGATAAAATGGATTTGGCCCATTTTTCACATGAGTCCATGTGCCTGTCAACCAGAATATTAACAAACTGGTTAAGTGGCACGTTGCTTACCCTGCTGACAACCTTTAACATCCTGCGTAATATGTTATAGTCTTTCTTCAGTAGCCCGGGAAAAACTAAGGGGGGACAGTAGAGAATAATAGGCAGAATGCGAGAATTAACGAATTGTAGGAGTAAGGGTTGGGTTATACCAGAATGTTTTAACTTCTTGATGTAGAAGGTAAGACGGAATATTTTCTTAGAAATCGCCAAGATATGAGACGACCAGGAAAGATCAGCAGATAGAATGACGCCTAGGTATTTAATTTCCGACTTGGTTTCAGTGCCGTCTATGTTGCATACCTCGTGAGTGGGGGAAGAAAGTAATACACTTAAGAAACAAAAACCAAAAAATTTGCTTATCCAGTGTTATGATATATCAGGTCCATTGTAGATTTAATGACTGAACAAACTGCTGTATACAGAGTTCAGGATTTAGCAAGTAAATTGCCATTGCTTCCGCTCTGTTTGAAGAAGTTTGATTTGTACTCTTGTAGAAAGATTCCCACGTATTCTTTGAATGACTTTGAGGTTAGTTTGTGGGTCACCTTGGTATCCAGATTTGATCAGGTGTTCTGGGATAGAGCTGTGAGGAGGGATTTTTTTCCTTTATAAAACCATGAGGGTAAATGTTCGATGATACGTTTGGATAGCAAACGCTGAGTGAGTACGGCCGACTTATCTAGCTCCACACGACCAGGTGAATTGGTAGATGCACATTGATGAGGTCAGTCAGCAGTGGTAGCTTATCCTTCACTTTCATGCAAACCATTGGTTTTGTGGAGAAAGTCAGTCAAAGCTCAGCCACGGAGAAGGTTTTATTCAATAAGCGGGACAGACGGACTCTGCGTATTTCTGCCAATGAGTCTCCATTGAATTGTAGATTCAGATAGAGAAGTCTTTTAGCAGCAGAAATATATGTGTATATATAGTGCATCAGTAAACGCATTTCAAAGTTCCAAATACTTGCAGTTACACTCACTATTTCAGCATGACAACGACAGTGAAGATGTAGCATATTTTTTATTCCGATGATAAATAACTAATGGTCCCCTAATTATTACATCATTGGCTATTATTGTTAATATTATTCGTTCTGAGTGAAAGAAAGGGCTTCGGCACTACATCGCCCATTTTACTGTATTCTTTGTCGCTGTGTTCATCTTGCTGCATTTCCGTTCATGAGCTTTCAATTCCGCCTCACATGGTCTCCTCACTATTACTCTCTGATACCCAGCTTGTTGTTTCTCACTAAGGTTCTAGTAGATGCCCTGGAGTGGTATATCACTTCAATATCTCTCTGTATATTGGATTCATCTACATCACTTTTCTGACATTTTTCTGGGTAATAAATTCTTGACTGGTTAGTTTACTGAGTGCCAGGAGTTCCTTATTGTTTATCCCTTCTCGTCAACCATCTGATCTCCGATATCGATTGTTAACAAGAGTTCAGAGTCTGTTGGAAATGTCTTCGGTGACATATCAAGTCTCTGAACCATTTAGCAGAAGTACTGACTTGACATTATTAGTGTTGAAAATCAAATCTTGTTTTCCGTGCTCAGTGCTTTAAATCTCCACGCCTATTTCAAAGCAGTGAACTCCACTCTCACTTTACCGATCCTATCCTGGTTGGTTTCATCATCCTCATCCTACTGCTTGCCTTTAGTTGAAACGGTGAGTTACCCCAACAAGTGATAGCGACTACTTCATTTAAATTCCCTCCCCCCATTCATGATGATTGGTGTTTTTGTTGTTGGTCGGACACCTTTATCCTCTCTATCTTCTCTATATTCACCTGAGGTCCTGTCTCATCTGCTTGTCAGTCTTCGAGTTTCTGCGATGTGAGACATAGACCCTCCATGAAATTCAGGTCTTGTAGTGTCTGTTTGTGGGTCCCAAAATTCTATCACATGACCGAGTTCACTACAATTGGGCAGACCGTGATAAATTCCCATTCACATGTGCACTGTATTCATAGATTCGGCTGATTTTCTATTTGCGAATGGGAATTTGTATATGGTATCTTGATAAACGCAATTTTCAGATAATCAGTAATAATAATAATAATTTGCACGTGTATGAACCTCTGGGCATTAAAAGATTTCTTAAGAAGTTGTATCATGAAGGATATCAGAATATGTTTTCCTGGCTGCAAATTTGACTGCTGAATTGTACAGTAACCAGTTAAGTAAGAGATACAATGAGCAGCTTACAAGAGCATAATAGTAGAACTTGTGAAAGTTGAAATTATTATTACAAATAACTTGCCTTTGTACTGATCACTGCAGGTGTTTTCATAACTTTTTCACTTCAGAACCCTTTGATAATAATAATAATAGTAGTAATTTGCTTTGTCCCAATGCGGTGCATATGTAATACAGCATGGAATTCTCAACATTCCATCTAATTTACTCAAAAACAAAAAGGAACATTACGTGGTAAAGGTAACCAAAACGGGTAATAGCAACATTTCTGGCATTAGCAGTAACAGTGAATTCAAAAATGTACAAAAAGTTTAGAATTATGATAATAATGACTAAAATTATAAGGTAATAGAAATAGTATCACCATAAATTACAAATAAGAGAAGATCAAGGAGCCATCTGTTTTGTTAACTACATAGTAAGTTATAAGTTTCTCGCCTAACACTTCCTCCATCACATAGAACACCGGCCAAACAGGGTATCGTTGAGTTTTTGTACTAAGTTGTGCGAGCATATAATCTTTTATAATAATTTTTAGTCCCACCTAATGAGATGCGACAAGGGGAGAGTTGTGAATAAATAGGATGTTGAGAGTCAGATAATATGGATTTAATGAAAACTAAACACATAGTTCAGTGAAGAGTCTCTTTTCCGTGGCGAATTCATTTTCTTAGCTGTACAATCGCAAATATATATGGGTTATTTTGTATGCATGTGTACATTAAGTTTGTCAAAGAAAAATACAATTGGTTATGGTTATTTAAACTAAACAGGTGAAGATTGGTATTAGAGTTACGTAATACAAAATTAGTCAAGAAAATTAGGTGTTAGTGAAATTAGGGTAGTAACAAAGGTGATGAGTTGTCACAAACAGTTGTTAAAAAGGAGTTACGTTATAATATGAATAGTTTGATGATTGCATTGTGTTCAGGATACACTTTGGAACAAAGTAGGGAATACGAAATTACGTAAGAGTTCCAAATTAATACAAGAATGATAAGCAATTAAAGAAACAAGCAAACAAACAAAATTTAGTCATCAAAAATCAACAAAGTTGTTAACAGGCTAATAGAATTGGTTGAGTAATTCTTTTTTGTATACACAACTCCGGTTTTTCTATGTGAATGGCTAGTGCTTCAGGGATACAAAGAAGACGAAACTGTATTGCCTTTGATAGGTTATTCTTGGCTCTGTATATTATTTTGAAGGAGGCGATTGTTGAGATGGAATAATCAGTGTTAACCAGGTCTTCAATTATCGCACTCCTTTTAGCACCACTAATGCCTTTTCGCAACCATGCTGGATAGTGTTTTACGTAGCTCCACCCAAAACTTACTGATTCTTACGTGTTTAGTTAAAATAACCATAACCAATTGTATTTTTGTTTGACAAACTTAATGTACACATGCATACAAAATAACCCATATATATATTTGCGATTGTACAGCTAAGAAAATGAATTCGCCACGACGTGTTTCGTTTTCATTAATGCCTGAATGGAGATTATTCATGAATATGGATTTAGACCATTTCTCATATCAGTTCAGGTTTCTGTCGACACTACAGTAGTAACGAGCGAGCTAACTTAGTGGCACACCACCTATCCTACTGATAATCTTTAATACCCTTCACAATATGACACAATTCTTTTGGAGTGGCTCAGGAAACGCTGATGGGGTGCAATAAACAACAATAGGTAAGTATGAAAGAGTTAACAAACTGTAAAAGTAGAGGTTGATTCACATCTGATTGTCTTAACTTCACAATGTAAAAAATCAGATGGAACATTTGCCTAGAAATCAACACGATATGGTATGACAAAGAGACGTCAGAGGAAATAAACTATTCCAAGGTATTTAATGCTTGACTTAATTTCTATTTCATTAGTGCCCTCTATTCTCCAAGCATTATGTAAACGAACCACTTCGCGTAGATCTGGTTTATGCAAGTAAGGTGAAGTTAACTGTCTGACATTTGGAAAAATTTAACGTAAGACTAATGATGTTTGCTTACACCAATCCAACAATTATGCTTATCATCCCCCCCCCCGTTTTTTTCCAACTTCACTTTCAGCTCTCTGAATGTCCACAAGTGAATTCCATTTCACAACATGAATCAGCCTATAGCATGTCAAACTCTACTTACTATTCCTCTTCTGCGTCTGCGTCTTCGTCTTCCGCTCCCTCCATTTATGAAACAAAAATGTTCAGTCCTAAATCAAAAACTATACACTATCATTATTCTTGGTTGGGTAATGATAATAATAATAATAAAACTATGCTTATTGTAGAGAATCCTTTGTATATAGTTGAAGATGTTAAGCCAAAACATGGTGTAGTTATACAACAGGCGATTCTTCCCGGTCAATGTTCAGCCAATGGTGCCTACTCATCATTTCTTTCCCCCCAATCTCACCTTCTCTTTTTTTATTATTTTACTGTTGTCTCTTCTCAATACCTTTTCTGGATAGATCTTTCTAAGACTTATGAGAAAAATAAAAAAGAACCAATATTTTTTCTTTGCATTTTTATAACTCAATACCTGTTTGAATAATGATACGCAATAGCATCATCACCATCATGTCTACGCATATATTGTTTTTGTTATTTTTGTTGTTTCTCTTTTTTACTCTCCTGAGGAAACAATCAGAACAAGTGCATTTCTTGGTTTAGAGTATGTAAAATTAAATATCAAATTAAATATTTTCGTCTTAATGTCTTTCCTTTTCTCTTATGTTTACATGGGGGGTGAGGTAACTGTTACGTGGAAAAATAAGAATTGCAAAGAAACGACTTGTCGTAAATATTAATAGCAAGTAATCTTGAAAGTCTGGGAATCAAATACCAACCTTTTACTTCATATTAACACATAGTGATGCAGTATTAATTAGTGGATGATGTTTCGAGCACAATTTATACCTGTACAAAATCATATCAATTTAGTTAGTCACACGGCTTCATAATTTGGTTCCATGGTTCGTGGACAGTTGTTTCGTCCTATCTTAGGACTTTTGAGTTGAACTCAGGACCTTCCGATTGCAAAGGAGGCTTATAAACCATTCATTTGCTGGGACTGGACTCAACTGAATTTCAACTTCTACCAATTTAGCGAAAATATTCATTCAGACATCTATAAAACACAAAATAATTGAGCAAAGAATATCCTTTTCGATAAATTCCTCTCCTGGCTCTACAATTATATATATATATATATACCGATTTGTAAAGTATGATCACAATGGAATTACAGTTCATTAAAGATGCTTAAATTATATTAATAATAATAAAGATATAATAGCGAATAGAATATCAACTAAAATTAGGAAAATTCCAAAAAAATTCAGGATCATTCAAACCTAGATGGTCAAGGTAAGGATAATGTCTGAACTAACTTCTTTTGGATGCACAAATTAGGCTTGTTAATATGGATCCCAACAGCCTCAGCAATATTTAGTAATCGAACTCTTAAGGCGAAATTGAGATTTGCTGGTATGCGGTAAATGACTCTGAAAGCCTGGTTAACATCAATCTTGTGTTCTGTATCCCCAAGATGAGATAGATTAGATTTTGTTTGTCCCTTGCCTGACCACACACAGAATGGAGTTCAGAAATCCAACGATAAACACGCCTAACTGTATGGCCTATGTAACTGGCTCCACAGGGGCAGTTAAATTGGGGACAACGTCAGCGAGATACTAACACAGTGCTTTAGAAATGAGGTGAAAAGAGCATTCTCTGATGCTGAATTACGCTGTCTTCAAAAGACTCCTGTTTTGCGTTTGGGAGTAAAACATAAACTGCCTAATTTCGCCTCTTCCATGTGTATCTACCAATTTAACTGCTCCTGTGAAGTGAGCCAGTTACATAGGCCGTACAATTAGGCGTGTTTATCGTCAAATTCCCGTACACCATTCTGTGTGGTTAAGTAAAGGACAAACAAAATCTATTCGAAGCGCTATTCTATCTCATCTTGTGGATACAGAACACAAGATTGATGTTAACCATGTTTTCAGGGTCATTTACCTCATACCAACAAATCTCAATTTCGCCTTAAGAGTTCGATTTCTAAATATTTCTGAGGCTGTTGGGATCCATATTAACAAGCCTAATTTGTGCATCCAAAAGAAGTTAGTTCAGACATTATCCTTACCTTGACCATCTAGGTTTGAATGATCCTGAATTTTTTTGGAATTTTCCTAATTTTAGTTGATATTCTATTTACTACTATATCTTTATTATTATTATTATAATTCAAGCATCTTTAGTGATGAAAATCCTGTGACCTATCAAATCCCTACAAACCAACACTTGAATATCAATGAGATGCTCACTAGTGACTCGCCCTATTCAGGTAGGTAGTTGCCTGGGGTTCTAGTGAGAAGTCGCGACCAGTAGGGTGCAGCAGGTCGGGTGTGAGGACAAATACTCGCCAAAGACATTGGCTATGTCGTGAATTGGCAGAAGTTAGAATTCATGGACCATTGGATCGGGTCCCAGTGGATGAACGATCTACAAGTCCGCCTTGTAACCAGGATGCTCTGGGTTTGAACCCCGCTGGGTGGGCGGCACTACCAAAGACACCCTGGTTTCCACTGATTCTCTAACTGACATCAAATTTGAAGAAAATCAAACCGCTACAAACTAACTCTTGAAAATATGCATAAAAGTGTTGAATAAGGGTTGTCTAAATGCATCATCATTCATGTATTTATTACTACAGTTAACTTATCTTTCTTTTTTTTACAAATACTGACCTGCTCTCATAATTATTAGTTGAAAAGACGTGAAATTACATTTTTTTGTGTGGAATAATGACAAATATATAATTCACTGGTATTACGCTCTTTAAACGACCTTAAATGTTTACTACAAAAAACAAAAAACAAAAGCAAGTCAATGTTAATTAGTTCACACCTGTCAAAGTATAAGAAAAGTCTATTTTCCTTATTGCATCGTCTTCGCATTCGCCTTCCTCTTCTTTTGAATTTAATAAATCCTGTCACGAGGTATAATTATATATTTCTCACCAACTTACTATTACTATATAGGTCAGTAAACTTTAGTGATGTTTATTTTCTACTGTGTATTTAAATAAAATACACATTTGCTGAATGAAATATTTGTAAAATGCGGGTTTACAAACAAAGTTCATAATATACATTCAACCTCTCTCTATTATTATTCCTTTTATAAATCACAAATATAGAGATGCAATGTGAACATGTGTCAACATATTATTACTATTATTACTACTACTACTACTATTATTAACTGAATTAATGATAGTACACTGTATTTGTGTTTTTTTAAAATTTTCTTTGTTATTTTCATTTTTTCGACAATGCATTCTATCATAGTTTTCCTACCACAGTATCACTTTCATTAATTAATGAATTAATTAGTTAATTCTGTCTCTTCAAACATTCACACACACGCCTTCTACTCCTGCTAATATATGACTGAATAAAATTGGAAATATTACTATTTATTACTATACTATCACCACCGCTATTGATACTGTTGATACGGACTATTACTACTACTACTACTGACATTGAAAACAGTAGTAATAATTGCCTATTCTACTGACTGTGTATGTATGTATATACGTTTAAACATGTTTATATATTTCAACTAAATCAACACTAGATAAATTACAATAATAATAATAATGATAATTTAGCATAATTTATAAATATTTTTGGTTGAGAATAAAGAATGCATGCAGCATTTATAAACCACTAAATAATAATAATAATAATGATAGTGGAATAGAAGAAGAACACCATACCAGAACAACAGTATCAGGAAAAACACAAACTCGTCATTATCATCTTCGTCGGAGTATTATTATTACTATTAAGGATAATGATAATGATGATGATATTGGCAGAGAGAATATAGTCCCTATTTTTTAAATGTTTCTATTTTCATTCCCATCTCTTAGTAGAATTGTTGTTTGGGAGGGTGAAATGAGTGTATCACTGCACATATATCTATATATATGTCCATATGGCCTATAAGTAATTTTAGTTTGCGAGATAATTGAGTATAATTATGGTCTAAAATTTTTAATTTAATGAGAATTATGGCAGTGAATATAGGCATTCACAAATATGTGTATATATACAAGTAAACTGTCTTTGAGTTAAATATATCATATATAATAATTAATAATTATCTACTATTATTATTAATAATGATAATAATTATTATTATTTCATTCAATATGTTCTCATTTTTTGATACTGTCGAAATTTTAATTCAAAAATTTAGTTTTCAAGTATCGGTTTCGCAGACATTTTGTTTGATTGGATTGAAGGATTTCATCATGAGCTGACATCAGTTAGAGAACCATTGGAAAACCAGCTAGGAGTACTGGACAACTGTTTCGTCCTAGTTTGACACTCTTCATCAGTATGCACACACCGGGGTTCGAACCCAGGGCCTTCTGGTTACAAGGCTGGCGAGGTCGTAGACCATTGAGCCACTGGGACCCGATGCAATGGTCCTTGAATTCTAACTTCTGCCAATTCACGACATAGCGCGACCATTTCGCAATGTCTTCTTCGATGAGTTACTGCCTCATCTTCAACCTGCTGTACCCTACTGGTCACGGCTTCCCACTAGAACCCCAGGTTAAATGTCTGAATAGGGCCAGTCACTGATGTCAGCTCATGATGAAATCCTCCATGCAACCAAACAAAATCCCTACAAAACCAATGCTTGAGAATTAATCTGATGCTCACTAGTGGGTTCGAGTCCCGGTGGGTGCATGCTGATGAAGAGTCCCAAACTAGGACGAAACAGCTGTCCAGTACTCCCAGGTTTTCCAGTGGTTCTTTAACCGATGTCAGCTCATGATGAAATCCTCCATGCAATCAAAAATTTAGACTTCTATTTCTACGAGTTTGACCACGGATTGATATCAGTTAGAGAACCATTGAAAACCGGCACTGGAGTACTGGACAGCTGTTTCATCCTAGTTTGGGAATCATCGGCAGTAGTTAGAATTCATGGATTGGCCATTGAATCGGGTCCCAGTGGCTGAATGGTATACGAGCCAGCTTGCTTTGTAACCGAAGGTTCTGGGTTCGAACCCTGGTAGTGGTGGGTGCGTACTCCCGATGATTCCCAAACTAGGATGAAACAACTGGTTGTCCAGTACTCCAATGCTGGTTTTCAATGGTTCTCTAACTGATATCAATCCCCGATCAACTCGTAAAAACAAAACTAACTCTTACAAACCAACTATAGAAAACTATCTATTTCATTAACAAGAATAGAAGATTATTACTCATTGGAGTGTATTTTCATGTTATATGCATTCTTTTTATCTTCCCCCACGACAACAGAAAAGATTTTATCCTTAACCTGATCTCCTTTATTGTAGTACTTCAATGCTTGTCTATGTGTATTGTGTGTATGTGTGTGTGTGCGTGAGAAGCATGGAAACATTTAAAGTTTGAGTAATATCAGTATAGAAATAGGTAATGTACTGTTATTATGGTTTCCTTGGGTTCCAAGTGGAACATACGACTTCAACAGTACATC